GGCCTCCCCAGGGGCCCCCGCTGGCGCCAGCCCTGTCTTAAAAACTCTCTAGTCTACTAGGACTAGGTCCGTGTTCACGCGACGAAGCTATACAAACATGTTCAAGTTGCCATCTGTTTCTTTCATTGCATTTCAAACTAATGGGTCAAAATTTTGATGTTTATTATAAAGGAATATTTACCAACGCTTTTCAATAAGTTAGCTTACGATAAAATGTAAAAATAAACAAGTTTATTGAAACGGAGACTTATTATAATGTGAAAAACTGCCACCTTGCGATTTGTTGTCAGTGGCGTAGCTAGGTTGTAAGGGGCCCTTACGCATGCAAATTGACTGACCATGATGATGACATAATTGACTGAACTGATGATGACATTAATGTCGAAATATTTAATACTGACACGACAGTGTGCATTTCGATACTTGGAGTATGTATTATACTATCTTGGCTGACTATGTCAACCAACAAGTGCACTACTAATGTACACTTAGGAGCAGGGGGTCCCTTCGATTTTTTATACTGTATTTTGACAATAAACTTTTTATTTATTTTTAATTTTTTTAATTTTTAGATGTTCTCTGGCCTCAGGGCACATTTGAAGACCTAGCTATTGGCTGGACTGACGATAATAATAAGCATTTCTCCTTCATATGACCAAAAGCAAAAAAACATTCGATATTTATTGACACCTTTTAATGAATATCGTTATCTTAGATCAGGAGATACAAAAGTAAATTTCGAAAATCCAATTCGGATTATTTTTGATCAGTTGAAAACAAATATAAACACGATCCCAAACGTTTGTGGATGAAATTAATAAACATACAGAGAAATACAAAAATTCAAAAATATTCATCCAAATCTTCATTGTGAACAATTTTTGCAATTATTTTAGGAACAGAAATGTTAAATTTAAATAAAGAAGACAAAACAGAATGGAAAAATTCAAATTGTATTCACGCACTAAATTTTATGGGACTTGTATTTGGCAATATTGAAAATCTGGCATGTTTATCTCAAATGGTAACCTTGATGTTCATAATTTCAATATTAGGCTACCAAGACTTGCATCACGCTAGATCACGAAATCTCTATGTTCATTATAAATTAATCATTAATGAATAGTATGGTTCCAAACGATTTGAAAGTCTCAATGGCTAGCCCATATACGAAGGTAAAGGCAACAGAGACTTAACAATTACAGTACATTATAGAACAATCTCAGTGGTATGCCACATAGTTAAAATTGTTAAAAAGCAAGTCCGAGATCAAATTATTACAGTATTTCAATAAAATGACCTTATAAATGTTGACCAATATGCTTTCTGAAAGTACCACTGAACTGTTACAGGCCCTCACCGTGTAATGATTTGCTAGAATCCATTAATGAACGCTATATGATATTGATTGTAATAATAATAATAATAATAATAATAATAATAATAATAATAATAATAATAACTCCGTTCCACGCGCCTCAGGATATTGGTTAAGTAACAATTATTGTTGTGTCTTCTTAATAATGTGACCATTATAAGTATTTTAATAATAATAATAATAATAATAATAATAATAATAATAATGTCATTTTGTTAGGCGCACGTATCCATCCCTAGTAGGGGTGCTCGCGGCGCCGTTTTCCACCTGCCGAGTGTACATGTAGCCATTTTCGGCATTATAATGTGGAAATTAATTAATTTTAATTATTTATTTAATCGTGTGCAAAGTGTTTTGACACAATACAACCATCATCATACATTACTATTACAAAAAATTGAAAACTTACCTGAAAGGAAGCAAACAATTAAATGTAAAATAAAAATTGCTTCATTAGAGTTTTTAAAGGGAGTGGGGCCCTTACAGGTTGGGGGCCCATGTAGCTCGTGGGTCCAGGTTCAATGAACCTGCTGAATTGTTTTGATGTTAAACCCTCTACAGTAGCTTTGTTATGGTGACTAACCGGCCTATTGTGTAAGTTTACAGATTGTTTTTTTTTTATGTATGAATTTACGTGCAGGTTTTCTTTGTGACTATTGTATATAATCAATATAATTATGATACAAACAAAATTTTACCGGGGAATTATTTTTTACAAGAGTTAAACAAATCTTGGTAGGCCTAATTTTTTTTTTCGTGCGCTGGGGGTAGTTATAAGATAAGATAAACTTTAATGTCATATTCCAAACAAGTGAACTATGAAATTACACATTTATCAAATTAATTATTTGTACATTTAAATTTATTAATTCAGCTATCTGAAGTACGTTACCCTTCATACAAGAAACAATTCAAAAAGTATTTCACCTACTAATGTTTATCAATTCAATTACCCTAGTAAATCATTATTATTATTATTATTATTATTATTATTATTATTATTCTAAAATAATACTTTGTTAGCTTATGTTTTATAAGTAATAAAGATAGATTTTCCGACCCACAACAAACCAAACATCGTATGTATTTTGAATGTAAATATACTCACTTTTCATATTCATGATTGTAGCTTAACATTAGCCATAATTTCTGGAGAAGAAAAAAAAATATACACACTGGCGTCTCAATTTCAACATTATTTTGTCATAGATCTAGTCCTATATATGATGTATGATAAATTCGTTTTCCTGGTAGAAAAGTTGAACCGATAACAGACAAAAATAAGCAACATCCGAATACATAGGCATAGAATATAGCCGTAGCAAAGAGGGCAGAAAGTCATGGCACCTCAGGGTTGGCGCCAGGATTTTCCCCCGACGGAAGGGCCGATGCCCCGACTAGGGTTCAGATTTCCCCGACGAAAGCAAAGTAGGCGTGGTCGAGCTTTGATTAAACGGTTGCAACAGTTGTCCTAAATTTCGACAATTTAGGGGTTTCAAAGGTTTATTTACTCGATTTTAGAGTTTACTAATATGTAGAAAATACATATTTTTTTCCTCCCCAACAGGGGGGGGGGCAGCTCTCCCCGAAGGGGAGGCGTTGGCCCCCGTCCCCTGGCGCCACCCCTGTGACACCTTCTATATTTCTGTCGAGATTATAGTCATCCTTCTATGAAACTTGAACACAGACAATTAGAGAAAGTTGAAGAAGGGGTAGGAAAAGGGGATTAAAAAGCTAAGTGAGTCTTTCACACCATCAAACCCGTAGTTTGTCAGGAGGGTAGGGTGTGAATATGAGGTGAATTTAAAGGAAAACGTCCCAGACCAGATATTTCAAAAACGGGTCAACTGATCCGAATGAAACTTTCGGGAAAGTTTATCCCAAGTTACAAGGAAGATATTATTATGTGTAGGGGACGATCCAGGTTAGGGAGTAAATTTGAAGGTCATTGAAATTGCTTACGTCCCAGTTATAGATGAATAAAAATGACACTTTGCAAAATACTTTTTCATGGAGAAATGAAGAAATTATCCAATTTTGGTGACGATCCGTAGTAGGTGTGGATATAATGACCATTTAACGATTTTTTGTTGACAGTTGATTAAATTATTTAAATTTGCGTTTTCTAAAGCGCTTAAACCAGTTACAGCTAGGTTAAACTAAAAAATACCGTGATATGCATGAACAATTTTCGTTTTCAGTCATTGAATCGCTGTGAACTGAAAATGCACATTCCTATGCAAGGTCGGCCCATATAGCGCGCAATGGTTATGAGTCACGATGTACCTCGCTATTACCATTGCAGCCATAGTTCAAGTCTCACTAATAACATCGCACTGAACTTGGTGTTCGATGTTTTTTTCCCCACTTCATTTTTTTTCACTTCATTAATATTATATTGGTTTCAGTGTTTTTTTTTTTTTTACTTTATACCTTTTAACAACTTTTCTTTTTGTTGCAATTTCAACTTCATTTCTCATTAAAGCAATGGGGAAAAGACCTATGTTCTGTTTTTCAAACAGTCATAGTAAGTCTATTTATTATTATTATTATTATTATTATTATTATTATTATTATTATTATTATTAGATGAGAGACTCAATGGTGATGAAAACCTAACAATTAAGAAAGCTTACGTGAAGAATGGTCAGACCATGGTCAGGCTACCATAGCCTAGAAAGTGGAGAATGGTCAGACTAAAACCTAAATATGGAGCTTGAGCCACTGACAGTGACTGGTCCCTTCAATATATAACAACTTTATTAGTCACATAGATGCTCTATAAGGCTGAGCTTCTAGGGGTTTTAATTTGCTTCAAATTTCAAACGATGGGAGAAGAGATTTCCCTTACCATACCACACCCGTTCGGTACTTTACATCTCACTTGAGCCTTTCGGCCCACTATGGGCAACACCCAATACCCAGTATGAAATTTAGGGAGGTAAAAGATGAAACGTACTTGCACACCTATTTTGTAGATTTTGGTGTCTTCGGTCTTCGTTTTATAAACCCCCCGAGAAGAACGCTAAGATTGTGATGATGATGATGTGGGTTCAACACTGATCACCAAGATTCAATGTGTGATGTTTTTGATTTTTATAATGATGGGCTGACGATGCAATAAAGAATTCCGTCTTCTTGTTGTTAAGCTCCAACTTATTTTTAGTCATCCATGACCGCAGATCTGAGATGTATTTGGAGAGGCTATATAAGGAGCAAATTCCATCACCAGGAACATTGGGCTTAAATGATAAATATAACTAAATATCATCAGCATAGATATGGTACTGGATGAAATGTTTGTCTAGAATTAGAATGAGTCTAGAATGTGAAAGCTTGGGGTCCAATGTCAGACCCTTGAGGAACACCAAAAGAGAGAATATGAGAGGTGGAGAAAGAGTTCTGGATTCGAACTCGACAGGATCTGCTTAAAACCAACTCTTAATGTTTTCCGATAAACAAAAATCATTCTCCAGGCGATGTATCGACAATCTCAAATGCTGAAGGCAAGTCTAGCATGAGAAGAAATACCGCCATTTTGGTAATCGATTGCTCGCAAAATGTGGTTCTGAACACGAATCAGAGCAGTCTCGGTACTGGGAAACCGTCGATATATGCAGACTGAAAAGGATCTGCAAGATCATGGAAATTGAAAACAATTAGGGTTATCCACATATTCACAATATTTAGGCCACTTTAACAAATTTTTCCTTTTCCTGGGAAAACATTATCAACATGATCAATGATCAATAGAATTGAAATTACGAGTTATGTGTAAAACTCTGGCATGACCACATCAATGTGAGGAAGTACAACAGTAGCATCAATAATTGAATGATCTGAAAATAAAGGCGGATCGACAACTAAAGAGTATCCATTAGAATTCTTAATCAAAATATCAAATACGTTTTAGGGCCTGACTATAATTATATTGTTGTTGTTTTGTATTAATCTTCCTTTTTGCGATGCGATGTACCAACAGATTTTCCGAAAGGACGCAAATAAAGTCTTGAATCTTGAAAAACCAAAAAAATATTAAGAAAATCAATTAATATACAGTAAATTCTAGAAGATTTCAGATCAGACTGGTAACCAGGAGATGATTACACCGATGATTTTAGTCACAAAGGAAGCTCATACAAGTCAAAATAACTTAAAACAAGATTATCTCTAACTACGATGATTTTGGTCATGATATCTAACTAACTTGTTTAAACCGCCCAGATTTCGAGAAAAGCATTTTCACTCTTGTGCGGCTGCTGATGGAATATTCTATCCATTGATAAACACCGAAGAATATTGCCATAAACATGAATATATGAGGGTCTCTTTGAGTCAGCTTCGTGAAATATTGTTGAATAAACAAATATTAATATATAAAACTTGGCAATAACTAAATAAAGGCCTATCAAACTCAAAAACGCTTTGATTATTTATTCAAAAGCATGGTTTGTTGCTCTTCCAAACCCGGGCTGCTCACCCAAACCTCTTGAATCCTATCAAATCCATAAGTAAATAATAATAGGCCTACCTTCGACTTCTGCTGTGGTATATCCGACTGAATTTCCATCGGAATTGCTGAAATAAATACAACATTAACTTAATACCAATGTGGGTACAATAAAATATAATAATAACAACAGTATTTGTACTACTAATAATGTAACCGGTGTAACACTACAGTGTCGAGAGATACAATGATAATCAAGATACCAATTCAAGCTGAATATAAAAGAGTTTATTCGTGAAATGCGTGACCACAAGACGCAGCTTGTTCACGCCGGTACTCCTCCGAGACTCTTCTCCCCCTAGTCTAGTCCTATATTGCGGCCCAGACTATTTCGCGGGAACATCCCATAATCATGTATGTACAAAAGTTGAAAGATTAAATAACACTACTTACCACTTACCACTTTACCACTACTACCACCACCGCCGCCGCACAGTGGGCCAGAATCAATTCAAAGTGTGCCAAAAGTCGAAAATAGGTAATGTGACAACTTCAACTTTTAAAGGTTGTTTGAGGTCGAGAACATCCTAAATTATATTAATCCACCAATAATTTCATATTTAGTGAATTTTCATAGTGTGATATAACCATGTAAACATGAAAAAGTTGTATTTTACACGTAAAATGATAAAATTGACAGTTTTGAAAAACTCCCTATGACTTTACTTAGATGAAAGCAGTCAACTTGATACTTCTTGTAGTATTTGCCTATTGTTAACTAAATTAGATAGTAAAATAAAAAATGACATTATTGGTATATTTTTAGAATAAAGGACATTAAATATGAGCCAAAAACGCTTAAAAACATTTTTTTCATAAAACCAACTTAAAAGTTAGAATTGCCGGCGATTTTCGTCATGCTTTTGACATCAACATTTCTGGCAGAGCCTAAGCTTTACGTTAATGCCAAGTTTAGATGCCAATATCTGCCACCCTGCATTTAGCAAGCGATATAATATACCCCCCCCCCCAATACAAAAGCGCCATTATTTAATTAAGGTATACGATAAAATCATTCCTGCAGCCATTGGGTGCCAAATGTAAAAACAAGTACACTCGATTTCCAGTGTCATATCTAGGAGTGAATTGGGGAGGGAGATCATTGGTGGATCTGGAGGGGTCAGGGTCCTGACCACACCACATTTGACAAAAACATTAAATAAATAAATATTTAAAAAATAATTCTAGACTTTTCCAGGACCCGTAAGCTGATTATTGAATTTTGTGTTACGATTGGACAATTAAATGGCGGAAATGCTCAATCAAAATTTTGATGGGGGGAGGACCCCGTTTCAAAAAAGAAAAGAAAAAAGAAAGAATGCGTAAGCAATTAATCATATTTATACCTCTACACACAGTATTAAAAATCAGAAAAATTTACCTGACCGTTTTCAATAGGGTAAACCTTGATTTTGTTTTCATTAAAGGTCATTAAAAGATACTTCAGAAGTCTGAAAAGCTCACTTCCCGCAATCTAGGAATCAAAATTTCCCAGGGGCTAGCATGATTCCGCCTCTCCCCCGGTTCCTTCTTAGGGTTCATTGATTCATTAAAAAACGTCAAGAGAGGGAAACCAAAATTTCAGAAGTTGAGAAAACCCGTTTCCCGACATATAGGAATCAACATTTTCTCACCACCGTCCTATTTGGGGTTCATCGGTTCATGGAAAACAAAATAGGCCTACGTATGCAACTACTCTTTTTTTTATACACACATAGGCCTGTTTACTGTAATAAGAATGATAAAGTTGACATGACTGTTTTCAAGGGAGGGAAAATCTTGAACTTTAAACAACTTAATTGTTATTAAAATAGGCCTACACCTCAAAAGTCGGGAAATCTCATTTCTCGCCATTTAGGAAACAACATTTTTCCGGGGAGGACCTCGACCCCCTTTCATTTTGAGGTCAATTATTCTAGGAATCATTTTTTTCCGACACTTTCTCTTTTGTTTTTATTTTTTTATTTATTTTTTTTAAACATTTTGACTCCATCCTAAATCTGAAGCCAAATTGCCTCTGGAGATTATAAGGGCATCCCAAGGTGAGTAATGGGATGGGGGTAAATGCCCGATGAAGTGGGACCGCTCATTTAATTTCTTTATTTCATTTATTTATTTAGCATCCATTCAAATACAACAATTATTGCTCACGCAAATTATAGCGATATTATGTAATTTCAGTCTGTTTGACTGTGATCTTTTGTGCTTATTTTCACTGGTGAGGGTTGACTGATGGGGTGATCGTGGACTAAGGGGGTACTGCAGGTGTCTTAACACTCCACCTTCAACCCTTTTCTTTGAAGAAATGTATTTTAATAATGTCACATAAAGTGTAAAATGTTCTAATTTGAATTTGCCGGTCTAGAAACCCTCATTCGTGTCATACTGAGCTCTGGCAAGTTATTCTATCTAGATCTTAAATTTTACGTCGTCAAATAAAAAAAAAACTTTAATGACGTCATACATATTTAAATATGCTTGCGTTGAAATCTACAGGTTAGAAAACCCCTCATATGTTCTAATAACCAAGGTAATATGAATCTGCCTAGGTATTACAATGAATATTTTACTCATCCAATCAAAAAACAGTAATTTGATGACGTCAATTCTGGCCCACTGTGCGCCGCCGCACAGTGGGCCAGAATTGTTTCAAAGTGTGCCAAAAGTCAATACTCATAAGAAAATACTGATTATGTTCATGTTAAGACTGTTTAAGGGGTTTTCGAACCTGCTGAATTCAATTAAACTATTTTAAAATATGTATGACGTCATCAAATTACTGTTTTTTGATTTGATGAGTAAAATATTCATTGTAATACCTAGGCAGTTTCATAGTACCTTGGTTATTATAACATATGAGGGGTTTTCTAACCTGTAGATTTCAACGCAAGCATATTTAAATATGTATGACGTCATTAAAGTATATTTTTTTATTTGACGACGTAAAATTTAAGATCTAGACAGAATAACTTGCCAGAGCTCAGTATGACACAAATGAGGGTTTCTAGACCGGCAAATTCAAATTAGAACATTTTACACTTTATGTGACATTATTAAAATACATTTCTTCAAAGAAAAGGGTGGAAGGTGGAGTGTTAAGAAGACACCTGCAGTACCCCAT